AGAGATCATCTGAAGAACAGATTTGATACATTAAACACTAAAGACCGAAGACCAGAAGAGTTGTGGGATGACATCAAGAACATCATACATGAAGAAAGCCAAAAGTCATTGAGAAGACAAGAAAGAAGGAAAAGGTCAAAATGGATGTCAGAAGACACACTGAAACTTGCTCTCCAGCACAGAGATGCTAAAGCAAATGGAGGAAATGAGGTGGTCCAAGAGCTGAACAGAAAATTTCAAAGATCGGCTCAAGAAGATAAAGCCAATTATTACAACAAAATGTGCAAAGATCTGGAATCAGAAAACCAAAAAGGAAGAACACGCTCAGCATTTCTCATGCTGGGGGAATTGAAGAAAATATTCAAGGCTCGACTTTCGTTATTGAAAGATTCTCTGGGCAAATTACTGAATGATGCAGAAAGCATAAAGAGAAGATGGAAGAAATACACAGAGTCACTGTACCAAAAAGAAATGGTTAATGTTCAACCATTTCAAGAGGTAGCATATGATCAAGAACTGAAGGAGGAAGTCCAAGATGCATTGACGGAATTGACAAAGAACAAGGCACCAGGAATTGATGGGATAAAAACTGAAATCTTTCAAGAAAGTGAGGCGGCTCAGGAGGCACTCACTCATCTCTGCCAAGACATTTGGAAGACAACTATCTGGCCGACTGATTGGAAGAGATCTGTATTTGTGCCCATTCCAAAGAGAGGTGACCCAAAAGAATGCAAAAATCATTGGACAATCTCTTTGATATCCCATGTGAGTAGAGTTTTGCTAAAGGTAATACAGAAACGGCTACAATCATACATTGACAGAGAACTTCCAGAGGTTCAAGCTGGATTCAGAAGAGGCCATGGAATGAGGGATATCATTGCTGATGTCAGATGGATCTTGGCTGAAAGCAGAGAATATCAGAAAGATATTTACCTGTGCTTTAATTACTATGCAAAGGCTCTCAATTGTGTGGATCATGACAAGTTATGGACAACATTGCAAAGTGTGAGTATTCTGGAACACTTAATTGTGCTCATGAGGAATCTGTACCTGGACCAAGAGGCAGTTGTTCAAACAGAACATGGGAACACTGAATGATTTAAAATTTAAAAAGGTGTGCAACAAGGTTGTATTCTTTCACCATACTTATTCAACCCGTATGCTGAGCAAATAATCCGAGAAGCTGGGTCCTATGAAGAAAAATGTGTCATCAGGATTGGAGGAAGACTCATTAACAACCTGCAATATGCAGATGATACGACCTTGCTTGCTGAAAGGGAAGAGGACTTAAAACACTTACTGATGAAGATCAAAGAGCACAGCCTT